GTGAATGTCCGCTAGTGCTGATATGATTGGTCGTGAATGTCTTCTAGTGCTCATTGATTGATCTTGAATGTCCGCTAGCGCTGAATGATTGGTCGTGAATGTCTTCTAGTACTGAATGATTGGTCGTGAATGTCCACTGGTGCTCAAACGATTCGTCGTGAATGTCCGCTAGTGCTGAATGATTGGTCGTGAATGTCTTCTAGTGCTCATTGATTCATCTTGAATGTCCGCTAGCGCTGAATGATTGATCGTGAATGTCTTCTAGTACTGAATGATTGGTCGTGAATGTCCACTGGTGCTCAAACGATTCGTCGTGAATGTCCGCTAGTGCTGAATGATTCGTCGTGAATGTCTTCTAGTGCTGAATGATTGGTCGTGAATGTCTTCTAGTGCTGAATGATTCGTCGTGAATGTCTTCTAGTGCTGAATGATTCGTCGTGAATGTCTTCTAGTGCTGAATGATTCGTCGTGAATGTCCGCTAGTGCTCAAACAATTCATTTTCGCGCAACCAATTAAAGCCCACAAAAGCTCTCTCAAGAGAAGTTTTAGAACCTTTGGAGTTTTACATCTTACGAAAAAGAAAACTCTAGAAATTGTTGTTGATGGCAGTTTGGGGTCTCGCTCTTGATACAGATTGCTCGCTCAATGTAGAGGCTAGATTATAAAAATAGCGCCAAAGGAAAACCTGTAATCCAAATGGAACCGGAAGTTGACCTCCCTGCACTGTTTTGAACGATGGCGACGATCTTCGATGGTGCAAGATGGCGAGAGTGCAAATAAAACAACTGTCCTGTAACCGAATCACGTACTGATGAAACTAAGCTGTCTGTTTAAAATTTAAAAGTTTCCTTGTAATCCGATTACAATTTCATGACATTAGATTATTTTTGAAACTGGTTGTCAGGATCCCAACATTTTTACACTAAGGTGGTCGATGTCTGTACGTTAACTTGTCCAAAAATAGAAATCAAGAGTACTCAGAGCGTCTAATATTTACCTCCATAGCCGTGGGACTCTCGTAAAGGGCTTGAAGTCCAAAACTTGGGCCAAATCGGTTTATTTCGTATAGTTATGTATTTAACGTTTTGAGTTTTTTCTCAGATGTCCCGGTAGTCCATGTGGATATGCCCGGCAAATTTAAGCTTTGTAGCTTTGTGGGACTGTGGTCTTATCTAGTGTCAAAACTGAACGGCAGAATCCCTCTATAATCCAATAAATCCATAGAAATGTTTTTCAATAATTATTTAGTATCATGGTTATATTGTCCAACTGATGAATATATAATCATAATGGCCTGGTTTAAGTAGTTGAATTTTATGTCCGTTCTAAGAGGCGGTATTTCCTTTAAGTTTAACCGTTTTTACCGCCCTATTTATGATAAAGTTGAGGGCCTTTGACTAGATTGATCCCTACTTTCTATTTCCGTTGTCGAGAAACCGCGGAATTTTGATAATGATTCAGTACAAAATTTGGACATTGTTGATAACGAAATTAGATTATTTGAATTTTTTTTAGTCCCCCTTGACCCAGAGAAGAACTAAAAATAGTAAAAGCTACACAGGTTACGATGACTCAAAGATCGATCAAAACCTTAAAGTTATGACAAATTCTTCCGAAAAGTTTCAATTACAAATATTATACTACAATACATAAGGTACCCTCTGATTTGTTCATACCAAGGGGTGAATCTTGGGATTTTGAGCATTATTTCAATTCCATGGCATCAACGCGCGGACAACGAATCTCCATAGTTCAACCGTGGTGCCAATCGTACATTGGTCTCGGAAACGGACATTCTTTAGCTTAGCTAATCAGTAGAGTGTTCGCAGTAAATCGTTGAACTTTTAGCCTCCTTAGCCATGTGTAGCCTATCCATGGTTATCCGTATTATTGAAAATTCCATTGACGACTCATCTTTTTCATGACTGCACCATAATGTAACAAGGTTAAGGATTGAATAAACAAAAATGATCCAAATTTAATATTATAGACCTTATCTACAAGACGATAAGGTATTCAGTGGTGGAGTCCGGTTTGTGTCCGAGAGGGGGCGAAATTTCGGAGATTGCCCTAATTTCTAACCTAGTTTTTTGCCAGAAAAACTTCCCTACGGCACTGTGATGGGGAGGAGGGGCGGTTTGCCCCCTCTCCACCCCCCCTTCCCACCTTTGGCTCCGCCACTGCCCCACTTAAAGCAAATTAACTCCTTGCGTCGTTTCTCACTATAGTCAAGAAAAAATCAAGTAACGGCACGAGATGTCCGTATTATATATTCAGGTAGTGTAATGGTGTATTGAGACGTGTTAGTAACTATGAACACAATATATATGAGCTGCCCCTTTTAACC